TCTAGATTTTAAAAAGTCTAGCCGTAGCCGGGCGTGGGGCTCACACCATACCGAATCCCAGCACTTTGGAGGACAGAGGTGGGCGGATCATGAGTCAGGAGAATCGAGACCATCCGGCTGAACACAGTTAAACCCCCATCTCTCCATCTAAATACAAAAAATTCGCCGGGGTGTGGCGGGGCGGCCATGTGATGCCCAGGCTGCGCCAGGAGCTGAGGCGGGAGAATGGCGTTAACCTGGGAGCGAGCTTGCAGGAGCTGAGATGCATGCCACTGCACTCCACCTGGGCGACAAGTGGAGACTCGCGTCTCGGGGGTGAGGAAAAGTTTAGCCGTGGCGTGAGTGGGCATGGCGCTGTAATCGCCGCACCTGGGTGGAGGTCACCTGAGGTCAAGAGCGCGAGACGCGAGCCTGGACCAACGATGGTTGAAACCTGTCGCCACTAAATTGAAAAAAAAAAAAAAAAGATTAGCTGATGGGGTGTGCGATGCCTGTCAATCCGCAGCTACTTGGGAGGCGAGCAGGAGTAATCTCTGCGAACCTGGGAAGTGGAGGTTGCTTTTGGTTTTTTTTGTGCAGGAGGCCAAGTTATGCCATTGCGACGCCAACGCGGGCAGAAAAAGCAGGAACGTCCAGGTAAGAACGAAACAACACTAATATAATTTGAAACCCCCAAAAGCTTGTAAAATAGCGTTGGTTGGAGAGTATAAAGTTACAGACTATAAGAATTACCCAATTAGCTGGGCGAGGTGGCCATGCCTGTAATCCCAACACTTAGGGAGGCCAAGGCAGGCGGATTGCTTGAGCCCAGGAGTTCAAGACCAGCCTAGGCAACATGGTGAGGCTCCATCTCTACAAAAAATACAAAAACTAGCTGGGTGTGGTGATGCATGCCTGTAGTCCCAGCTGCTCAGGAGGCTGAGGTGGGAGGATGGATTGAACCCAGGAGGTGGAGGCTGTAGTGAGTTGGTGAGTTGTAATCATGCTACTGCACTCCAGCCTGGGCGGCAGAATAAGACCCTGCCTGAAAAAAAAAATAATAATAATAAATAAAATAAAATGTACCCATTTAAAATGTACAATTCATTAGTTTTTAGAATATTCAGTTATGTGACCATCACATCTAATTTGAGAACATTTTCATAACCCCAAAAAGAAACATGTATCATTGTCTCTCCTGATTGCCACTACATACAACCCCAGTCCTAGGTAACCACTAATGTATTTTCTGTCTGTGGATTTGTCTATTCTGGACATTTCACATAAATGGATTTGTATAATATGTGGTCTTTTGTGACTGGCTTCTTTCACTTAGCTGAATGTGTTTAATATTCATCTATGTTGTAGCATGTATCAGTAGTTCATTCTTTTTTTAAAAAATCTTTTTATTAATGAATAATAGTTCATTGTATGGATATATCACATTGTATTCATCCCTTCACCAGTTAATGGACATTTGGATTGTTTCCTTGTTTTAGTTATTATGAATAAGGCTGCTATAAACATTCATGCACAAGTTTTTGTGTGGATATATGCTTTCAGTTCTCTTGGGTATATCCCTAGAAGTGGATTTGCTGGGTCGTGTGTTTTTTTCATGTTTTTGTTTTGTTTTATTTGAAACAGGATCTCACTCTGTTTCCGACATTGGAGTGCAGTGGCACAATCAAGGCTCACTGCGGCCTTGGCTGGGTTATCTGTTAACTCCATCTTTACTACTTTGAGGAACTGGCAATTGTTGTCCAATGCAACCACACTGTTTTGCATTTTCATTAGCAATGTATGAGGGTTCTAATTTCTCCACATCTTCCTACGTAAAATGTGTCTCATCCAAAGACAAGCTGTAATTATTCACAAATGACATGATTATATATGTGGAAGATACAAGACTCTAGAAATAAACTATACAAAGAGAATATAGGAATCCCAGCACTTTGGGAGGCCGAGGTGGGCAGATCATGAGGTCAGGAGATTGAGACCATCCTGGCTAACACAGTGAAACCCCGTCTCTACTAAAAATACAAAAATTTAGCTGGGCATGGTGGCAGGCGCCTGTGATCCCAGCTACTCGGGAAGCTGAGGCAGCAGAATGACGTGAACCTGGTAGGCGGAGCTTGCAGTGAGTCGAGATCATGGCCTCTGCACTCAGCCTGCGCGACAGAACAAGAGTCCTGTCTCAAAAAAAAAAAAAAAAGAATCGCTGAGTGTGGTTGGGCTCACACCTATAATCCCATGCACTTTGGCCGCCCACGGCGTAGGATACTTGAGGCGGAGTTCAAGAGCCAGACTAAACATAGAAGCGAGGTACCATTTCTACCAACTGTAAAATAGTCATATGTGGTGGTGCATGCTGTAGTACCTAGCTACTTCGAAACTGAGCGTGCGAGGATTACTTGAAGCCAGCGAGTTCCGAGCGCTGCAGTGTAGTCTGTGATCATGCCCACTGAACTCAGCTTGAGTGACAGAGCAAGATTTTAGTCTCAATAATAATAATAAACTTAAAGTTTAAAAGTAAATTTAGCAGTCATTAGACA